CAAATATTGAGAGAACTATGATAAATGGCAATACCTGCATGTTATAAATACACTGACCACTTTTCTGCCATTCTACTCAGTCTCTCAATGGTATTAGAAGGAATAGAACTTGTTCTATTGATTCCTTCTAAGCATTAATATACAGGGGGTGGGGGAGGAGCATGCAGATATTTGATTTTTATCTACAAAATTCCACTTTAAAAAACAATAGTTTCTACGTCTTTGTCACTGGAAGCCCTTACTGGTCTATGTGCAGAAACTGGAAGACAGCTGTGTGGCCAACAGATTGGATGAGATCCATACTTGTACCCGTTCCAAAGAAAGGTGACCCAACAGAATGTGTACATTATAGAACAGGATGATCAATAATACAGGCAAGCATAATTCTGCTGACAATCATTCAACAGTCACTGCAAGAGTACATTAACAAGGAGCTGCCAGAGATTCAAAATATTTAGAAGAGGACGTGGAACAAGGAATATCATTGCTGAGATCTGATGGATTTGGGCTAAAAGCAGGGAGTACCAGAAAGAAGTTTACTCGTGTTTTATCATCTATGCCAATGCATTTGACTTTGTGGCTCATAAAAAAAAACATGGAGAGTCTTGAGGAAAACAGGAATCCCAGAACACTTCAGTGTGCTTGTGTGGAACTTGTCCATGGATCAAGAAGCAGTTGTGCAAACAGCCTAGAGAATGCACCATAGTTGGAAATCCGGAGCAGTGTTGTCAGATCTGCACCCTCACAACACTTGTTCAGTCTGTATGCTGAGCACGTAATAAAAGGTGAACTACCTGAAGAACACGGTATCAGAATTGAAGGCAGGCTTCTTAACAACCCGCTATCTGTAGATGACACAATCTCGCTTGCTGAAAGTGAGCAGGGCTTGAAGCACTTGCTGAGCAAGATCAAGGATTGCAGCCTTCTCTCTGGACGACAACTCAATGTAAAGAAAACCAGTACCCTCACAACTGGACCAGTAGGGTATATCATGATAAACAGAGGAAAGATTGAAGTTGTCATTTTCCTTGGATCTATAATCAGTACTCATAAAAGCAGCGATCAAGAGAACGAAGGAAGCCATGCATGAGGTAAATCTATTGCAGGCAACCTTGATAAAGTGAGGAAAAGGATTATACTTTGAGGGCTAAGGTGCACCTGACTGAAACCACGGCATTTTCAGTGAGCTAATATGCATGTGAAAGTTAGACACTTGAAGAGGAAGATGCAGAATTGATGCAACGGAATGACGGTGCTGGCAAAGAATATCAAAAGCACCAGGACTGCTACAAGAACAGGAGTGTCTTGCAAGAACGACATCCAGAATACTCAGAAGCAAGGAGAGTGCGACTACATCTGATGCACTTTGAACATGGTATCAGGAGAGACCAGTCCCTGGAGAGGAGATCCTGCGTGGTGAAGTCCAGGGGCAGTGGAAGAGAAGGTCCTCAACACGATCAGTAGCCACAGTGATGGGCTGGGTGGGACACGATGGTGTGGATGGTGGGACCGGACGGTCTTCTTCTGTTGCAGAGAGGGTGACTGAGTTAGAACTGACACAAAGTCACCTAACCGCTCTTTGCTGAGAGCGCCAGTCATTTATGAACATGATCATATTCTCATTTCCTTCACCAAGCACTGGTCCTATTTCTATTGAAAGTGCTTGGTTGATAATTCTACCATCTAGTTCTTGGCAGATATGCCATCCTAATCAAGATGTGTGGCTCTGTGACAAGGTCATGCTTGTCTTCTCAGGTCTTGAGTTTAGGCCTTCATCTTGGACATTCTGAAGGCCATGTGCAGACTCGCTATCATGCAGTGTGGATGTTCAGCTCCAGCACCAGTTGCCTGGTTTAGACGGAAATACTGGGTTCGACTCAGCCACAGCTTTGGTTTGCACTTATGTATGCATTTAGGGGCTTCTCTTTCCTTTCTGTTTTTAGTATTTCTTCCTCACTTGCTGACAGTCTTGCACAGCACCCATGTAAAAGTGGAACCTCTTATCAATATGCGGTATTTACTGAGTCCCTGTTTGTTGTGTAGTACAGAGAAGGGAGATCTCTGACAGAAGCTACATTTCCTTGTCACCACTGTGCCCCTGGAACAGAGCCACATGCCACACATGGGCTACAGAGGAATCTGCATGGTCCATGCTGATGAGCTGGAGATCTATACCTGGGATGATGCTCCAATTTTTGGCAATTCATAGGCTAACTCAAGCAGTGGTTTGCCTTTGACATGTCCAGCTCAGAGTGGACACTGAGGGATGTTCAATGTGGCCAACTCCAAGGCATAGAATGGGGCTTCCCTCGGCTGGAAGCTGTGTTGTGGTGCATGCGGGTGCCTGCAAGGGTCACCCATGCAGAAAAGGCAGCACAAGCCAAGAGCACCCAGACTGAGGAGGAAGGAAGACAGAAAGTGCCAGGGCAGGGTGCTACACTCCAGATCAAGGCCTTTCAGAAATTACTTGCCTCTTCATTCGGCTGAGCCACCAGCACTACTGGTGTCTTCATTATCATCCAACACCAATCCCAGATGAGGCCAACTGCTCTTTTCACAGCCACCATCCATCTCCCGGCTGTCCTTGCCATGTTTGACCTAGAGCAGATCACAGTGTGTGCATTTCCCACTAGGGTGGGAGCTGAGAGGGAGGACTATGTCTGGTATATCTTTGTACACCTCCACCCTTCCCCAGGAACCGTGGTCCAGCCTTGGAGAAGGCAGTCATCACCTCCCTGTCATTTTCACCATGTGTGCCCAGTATAGGACATGGACAGAGCCACAGACAGCACAAAGGCTTGGCAGGATCTGCATGATCATTCCTGGAGAGTGGAAGAAGCTGATGCTCCAATCTGGGCAATTCACCCCCGAAGTCATGCAGTAGCTACACCCATTGTCTGGGGGCAGAATATGAGCATGCATTTCCTTTTAAATAATGTTTTGGTCTAAAATTGCTATTAGCTACTTCCAAGTTGTGCAGAGGGTTCAGCATTGTACTGCTCATCCCAAAATCAGTGGCTCAAATCCCCAAACTCCTAGAAACTCGAGGGAGCTCTACCCTGTCCTGTCAGCTGACTCCAAGTGCGAAGCAACTCGACGGCCATGGGCTTAGCTTCTATCACGAGCCCCGACTGATGGCGATGCTTTGCACAATGAACAGTGTCTGATGGGTTGCCCAATCGACCATAAAATCCCAATGGGCTTTTCACTGGCTGATTTTTTAAGAAATCACCAGGCCTTTCTAGGTTGTCTTTCTCATCTATAAGCTTCATTAAAACCTATTCAGTATCATAGCAACATCCACTACCTCAATGCCACGTGGATGTGGGTGGACAAGAGGGAACTGGCTGCGAATGGGGTTTGGATATCCCACCTGGAAGATGAGAAATCTACCAGACACTTCAGTGTCTCATTCCTAAACTAAGGGAGCCACCAGCCCCTTCTCTGGGACTGTACCCACTTTCTGTTAGTAGAAATAAAGGTGTGTTGGCTTGAGGGCTTGGGACCAGCGCACATCACTGCCCTCAGTGGGAAATCCCGCAGGGATCTACAGAACTCCTGTTATATCCAGTCTTCAAAATCCTTCTCAAACCCTGTCATGGAATTGCCTTTCCCCAGCTGCCAGCTCGTTACATCAGGTCAAAATCATTGCCTTAATCCACAGTGCTAGGCTTATATTTATAAGCTAGTAAGTGACAGAGGACAGAGCAGGCACTTTTAGATGCCGAGGCAGTAAGCCTGTCTTTATGCTATGGAATATTTCAGTTACTCACGGCCATTAGATTGGTTCCCACTCACAATGGCCTTATAGGACAGAACTGTTTTGTAGGATTTCTAGGGAAGTGGATCGTTGTAGGATTTGGGGAAGCAGAGTGCCACACCTGCAAAAGGACTGGTGAGTTTGAATCCGGGACCTTTCCGTTAGCAGTCTTTCAGTTTACACACGGTGCCACTAGGGCACTTTATTAAGGGCTCAGCATCTGGCCTTCTGGATCCATGTCCAAGGACGCTTTGGAAAATGACCACTAGCTATTCAGAGAAGAGCCCTGCTGCCATAGTGGATTACTCAGGCGGCTGCTAACCCACAAGGTCAACAGTTCAAAACTACCAGCTGCTCTTGAAAGATGAGATTTACTGCCTGGGAAACCCACAGGGGCAAATCCCCCTGGTCCCACAAGGTCACTTGGCTAGCAAATTACTGTCAAATAATCCGTTTTTTACTAGAAGAAGAAATTAGAACTGTGTACCAAAAAATAAAATTCGGAAAATTCACTTCGTTAGTCAGGGTAACGGACTCTACATTCCTATCAGTGAGGCCATTAAAGTCGGTTCCCTCTGACTGTACACTCTTCAGGCGTTCTCCCAGCCAGCAGGAGCATTGCGTGCTGACCAGGAATCCTCCATACCATTCTTTGCTGTGCATTGATGTCCTCATCAATGACACCCTTCAGCAGTATTTTTAGAATAGATTTAGGGTTCTTGTTCACATTATTTTAATTCTTAGAAAATGGATCATTCCCTTGCCAAATTTATACATCTGCACATGTTCGTGTACTGAATCATTCACATCTCTGCCAAGGAACTCACTAAACAAGCCATGGACCCCCTATCGTCATTAGTACCGCTGAAGCCCTGCCCCAGGTTCTCTCTCCCAGACATGGCCCGCCATTTAAATCAAAGTAACAAATGCGCAATTGACCTGAACAGAGCGCTTGGGAGGAAACGCTGACTCAGCATCCTGGAAAATGATCTCGTTGAGCGAAGTCATCTCATTTTGCAAAGTAGCAATAAAAATGAGTCTCCCATTCTTCCAGAGGCACCACTGGCATTTATAGCACATGATTCACGTAAAGGAGAGAAATAGCCTTTGCATTTTTTCCACACAGGAGCGTTATATCCTGGCCACTCACTGTTGCCTCTGCACACTCCACTGATGGACAGAACAGTGCCCGCAAGTTGCCATCATGGTTCCTTAGGGAATCCAGGGACCAGTGACTTACCTTGTGGAAGTTTCTGAAATATGCTGCTTTTTCATCTGGAAATTTTTCTAGCCTTCTGGGTCCTTTGCTGGAAGCCTTCTTGAAAACCAGCCAGCATCGCCGGAAAATCTGGAAGGGAAGACAAGCCCCTGTCAGCCATCTTTGTAACATCGTGTGGAACACCAGGGGTTTGCATTTTCAATTAATTTGTGCTGGGAAAAAAATTGTACTGGCACTTTTCTGACTGACAAGCTCTTTTAAGTCATAAGCATGTTGCTCATTCAAGTGACAACAGCATTTAAAAATACAATCGTTCATCTAAAAATGCTTTCTTTTCGTGGGAAAGTTTTCAAGGATGGAGCTTTCCAATAGGCTGGTTTCGATCATTCTTAATCTAATTAAATCGCATGAGTGTCAATGCAGTTGAAAATATTTATTCTCAGCATCTAGAGGCAGGCAATTCCCCAACAGCCATGCTAATGAAGTGGAAACTTAATAAGGGTAAGTGCAACATTTACATAATGCTCAATTTTCTATCCTTGAAAAATCCTCACCTTTCAAAATCATCTTACAGAATTTGTTTTTTATTACTTTTTTTAAGGCTCACCTATTAATGTAGAAAACAAATTAATACACTTTCACAATGGGACCATCTGTGTGGGTCTCATCCTTTTACTTTTATAATTAATATGCATCAAATACAGTATGCACTCAATTCTAAAATGTACAGACACAGTACATTGCTATACTCCTGGAGGAGGTAGATGTAGATAGACAGGGGCCAACATCAGGATCTGTGCCCTGCTATGTTATCGGCTAGGCATGAACTTGCAAGGTCAGCTGTTCAAATCTACCAGAAAATCCACAGGAAAAAGATGAGGCTGTCTGCTCCCATGAAGATTTAAAGCCTTGGAAACTCTATGTACATTCACACTGAATCCGCATCAACCAAAGAGCAGTGCATTTGAACCGGGCTTATAAAAACTATCCCTCATTGCCCAGTGGCTCAAGTTCTACCAGTTCTCTGCTGAAGAAAACCTGCGACCCTCTGCTTCCCTGAAGACAGCCAGCTTTGGAAACCCTGGGAGGCGCTGTTGCACAATCTCAGAGTTGCCATGAGTTGGAATTCACTCAATGGAGGTTTTTTTGGGGTTTTTTTGGTTTATTTTCTGACTAGTATGTTAAAAAAAATCAGGACTAATAATTACACAAACCAATGATCATTTACTGGGCCTTTCTTCATAGCTTGTAGAACTAAATCATATTGATCTTCAGATTTGCTGATCACTTTCCTTCCACAGTCATGTTTTTAGGCAAAGTAGTGAAAATGAGTTGTCTTCTCTAGTAATTAAAACCTTTGAGACACACATTGACAACTTTACATTTCAACATTAGCATACACACACACACACTTTTACTTCAGTACATTCTTTACAGTCGGATAAATTCATAGCCTCTGAAACTCTTGATTACTAGACATTCTCTTCTATTTCTTTAATGGCTAAGCTGACTTGTTATGCTTTTATTTTTATTAACACATTCACTCTCAAGTCTCCTAGCAACCCTTCAGGACGTAGTGGAAGTACCTTGCAGGGTTTTTGGAAGCTGCCAGTCTCTGTGGAAGCGGAGAGCCTCTTGTTTCTCCTGCTGAGCAACTGGTGGTTGTGAACCTCTGACCTGTGGTTAGCAATTTTGCGCTGAACAAACACAGGCCAGAGGCTCTCATTCTTTGGAGTCTGCATTGTTTACTACTCCCTAGAAGACAGTGTTCCCCATCCTAAGACAATCACGCTTTAAGGGTTTCTCAAATGCCGAACGTAGACAGTAATCACTGAATACACAGGCTTTCTGCGAGCCCATTCTGCCCACATAAAATGTGCACCAACCTGCTTTTGATACATCTGAAAAAAAGGGGTACAATAATCCTCAGACCCTTCTGTAACAGACTGTGTTTATCGGTACATTGTCTTGGGGTTATTCTCCTTGATCACCTTCTGTATCCTCAAAGTGAGCAATTGAAAGCCAGGTCTTATTCACTTCTAAATCTAGGCATCAGACAAGAAACACCTGAGACATAGGAAGTCAACTTTTTTCTTTTTTCGTTTTTTGCAGAATACGCATATACTCGTGGATAAGCCAAGTTTTTCAGCTTATTGTTAATGCAGTTTTTGTGGTAAAATTAGGTGCCTCAGCTGATATTCAAGTCGGCTTATACTCAGGTATATGTGGTAAGTGGCTGCAGGTTTTAATTATTACAATAGAAAAGTACAAGTAGTAAATAAAATATCATACCAGCATATATTTTTAGCTTTACCTCAACTCTACCTGAATTGACTTGGAGTACGTCCTGTGAACTTAAAACTGTACATAGACTAAGGGGCAATAGATGTAGACAGCACAACCAGACACGGAGGGACGGTTTGGTGTTGTATGAAATGATAAAGCTTTGAGGTCAGAGGGACTGGGTTTTGTACATGGCTACACGACTTACTAGCTGTGCAAACTAGTATTCCTGACTTTCAGCTTCTTCTTACAATAAAGGAAGCCTGGTAGCATGGATAGCTAAGCTGGACTAAGAGGAGCTCCTCTCTCACACCTGGAAGGTTTGTAAGAGGGCCTGCTCACTTCCTCTTTTAGGGAAGATGTACGTGCTGCACATGGCAAAACTGTATACAATTTTTCTTCAATGAAGCATCCTTCAACCAAATACTTAAATAGCCTTGAATCCAGAACAATGTGCGCACCCTCTGCTTGCTGTAAAGGTTACTAGTTGGTGCTGTGAGTTAGGTGCTGGGTTGCTAAGTGCAAGGTCAGTGATTCAAATTCACTCATCCCTGGGCTGTGAGGTGGTCTCTTCCGGTCAAGATTTCCAGGGTTGGAAACCCTCTGTCCTACAGGGCTGCTCCGAGTTGGAACCATGGCAGGGATGTGGGTTTGGGGGACAGGAATAAAAAGACATGATCTCAACCATAGGCACAATTGTGGACCCATGAAGAATGGAGTTGGAGTTCCAACTGAGTCCACTGTTGGCATCTTGAAACTTTGAAAAAGACAATAAGCTCTTTGAGCTCTGACCTTACAACGGGGAAAGACCATTATCTGTAGTTCAGGATTATTGTTATGATGAAAGAAATGAGGCGTACGAAGCACTTGCCACACACAGAGGTGTCAGTGACTAGACAGCTGGTAGCACAATTCATAAAAGGTAAAAGGATCTTATCTCTCTTTCAGCATATCCGTCACCATAATGGATATTTACATGTTTTCTAAAAACCATTGCTTGGGCCAAGGTGCTTTTAAAAGAGTCAAGGGATTTCTGCACATCTGTCAAAAACAAAAGGACCCCACAGCCATCAAGTCCATAGAGTAATCACCGTGACCCTGGCAGGGTCGAATTGCAAAGCCTTTGGGTTTGCAAGACAATAAAGCTATGGGATTAGATAGCTTCATTTTTCTTCCCCCACAGTTGCTGGTGGGTTCAAACCACTGACCTTATCGTTAGCAGCTCAATGCTTAGCCTGTGATGCCACAAGTGCTCCTGCCATTGCATCCTTAGTCATATGTAAGTATCGATGAACAACATTGCCTACAGATTCTATTGAATAAAAAAAATTAGATCCTGCTAAATACTCCAGGGTTTATATATAATTAGTCAGTATAGCTCATATATTTACCAATCTACAGAAAAGAAAAAAAATGCCTAAGATTTACTCTCTTAAAAATTACTCTCCACTATAGCATGATATGTCACGTTTTTTTGCATGAGTTTTTTTTTTTACTTAGGCTTTAATGTAATTCACACACATTTCTGTATCAGAATTGGGGCATTCTAATATAATATCCCAGAACATGAATGTTAAGTTGGAACAACTTGATTTCCATTTCAGGTTCTGTCTTCAATTAAACATCGTGCCGCGCAGAAATTATCGTACCTTCTCTAAGGCCTTATTTCCCAGGAGCCCTGGTAGGCTAGTGGGTCACTCACTGCGCTGCTAACCACCTGGTCAGTAGCTTTGAAAGCAGCAGGTGTAGGGACTTCTACTCCCATAAAGAGTTAGTCTTACAAACCCACAGGGACAGTTCTACTCTGTGCTTAAGGTCACTATGAGTCAAAATCCACTCGGTGGCAGTGAGTTTCCTCTTGAGTTTAAGACCTTACTTCCTCCCCTGTAAATTTACCCCAATGTACTTGTGAAGTGCAATAACTTGGAGGGAATCTTCTATCCACATCTTGTGTAACGGCTTCCCAGATGATTGAGAGTCACTGTGTGGTATACCATATATACTTGAGTATAAGCCAACCTGAATATTAGCTGAGGCACCTAATTGTACCACAAAGACTGCATTAACAATGTGCTGAAAAACTTGGCTTATACACGGGTGTGTACAGTAAGTCTCTTTGTATGTTCAGATACATACCAAACTCACTGGTTTTGCTTCCCAGCAGAACCCATCCTAACACACAGGGCCACTGCCAGACAGAAGAAACAGGAATCAAATGAATAACATCTGTGGGAAGTGATTGTGGAAAAACTCACTCTTAGGAGTCAAAACCAGGCCAGGGACTGACTATAGAGCATCCATTGGGCACATGTAAATTCACGTTGGCCACAACTACTTGTCTGTCATCGTGTAGTGGCTGTGTGCTGTTGTGATGCTGGGAGTCATGTCACTGGTATTTCAAATGCCAGCAGGGTCACCCAAAGGGAACAGCTTGCAGTAGATCTTCTCAGAGCAGAATAAGAAGGAAGAAACTCTCCAGGAAGCCCCTGGGGGCAGGTCTGCTTTGTCTGGCATGTCCCTGTGAGTTGGAATCAACATGGTTGCATCCTACAAAACAAAACCCTGTTCACTCAACTACAGGCTGGAGACCAATCGCGCCAGCTTCCCATTCACATCTTGGTTCTGGGTGTTCCAGGACTCAACCCTGCATTTCACCATCATGTCTCCATCTCTGATCTGTCAGTTTCTTGCAATTTCCTTGTCCATGGGCCTGGGGAATGTGGAAGAGCTCTGGTCAGACAGCTCGTGCAGTGTCTCTTTAAATTTTTGTTTATCTCAAATAATCTTGATTTTCCAACAGTTCAAGAAGTCTCATGATGACATGATTAAAACTATAACTTCTTTGG